TATGTATAAAAAGTTAGGCACCAACTTAATTAGGGGGTCTTCTAGAAAGAAAAATAAAAGAAAAGAAAAGAACAAAACAAATTGGAAGCATTGTCAAAGTTTAATTACATAAGAACAAAAAGACAAAGTTCCAAAGCCCTAAAAATTGGAAGAAAAAAAATAAACAAACAAAAGTCAACTGATTGAACTTCTTCCAACATGCACGTACGTTTGACTTGGAGAGGGGGGAATGTGTAACAATCACTGTGATCGAATTTAACAGAATGTTTTCGACTTTCGTTATATTTTTTTACACAAAAAACAGTTAAATTTTTATGATTTTATAAATATTTTTTATTAGATAGACAGAACAGTAATTTCTCTAATGTTGTGTTTGGTTGGGGAATTTGGGGAGGGATTTGGAAAGGGAAAAGGTATGTGAAACTATGTGAAATATAGGCATGATTCATTCACATTTCACCTACCTTTTTCATTTCCCTTTTCAAATCTCTCTCCAAATCTCCCAACCAAACATAGCATAAGAGTAAACTCAAAAAAAATATGCTCTTAGAGTAAATAGGTTCATTCTTATTGAGTTAACAAAACTTATTTTCATTGGTTATTTTATTGAGATCCAATGCTTTAAATTAAGAGTTAAAGCACTAAATTTTAATAAAACAACTAATCATGAAAGGGAGTTTTATTCACTCACCTAATGAAACAAAGTCAAACTCTAGTGTGTCTTCTGTTGAAAAAATTATTGCATACAGAAAGGATATCATGTGGCAATGTCATGCAATACGTTCCATAAGTACAAATGATCATCTTCTCTATCTTATCTCTCAATTATTTATTTTATTTTTAGATCGGGTTATCTCTCGATTATTAATATAAATATAATTCCTCCCACTTTTTAAATTTATCACAAGAAAAGAAAGTATAATTGCGGCGTGGCAACACCCTCTGTTCGCTATGCAGGTGGCTTAATTGATCTAAAAATGTAATAATTAGCACTTCAAGTCTTCTTTGATTTTTCCAAGATTGAACCATGAACCCTAAATCCACCCAATCTCCATGCATGGAGTCTTTAAATGCAACTCAAAGGACTATTCACTTTCTTTAAAAAAAAAAATTAAAAAAAATTAATATTATTTTATTCTTAAGTTCAATGATCAAAAGAAACAAAACCCCTCCATTGACCCGTACCCCCGGCACCCCTCCGTCCATCACACCCCAGCCTTCCTACCTTGCCTCCTCCTTTAACACCCACCCCAGCCCCTCCCCTCCTCGACCACTGCCTACAATTCCCTCTTCCATCTTTCGGCCACTGCCCCCACCTTCTTTCCCCTCCTTGATGCCTAACCTCACTCACCCCTCCTTCCTCCACTCCACCCTCACCTGTGCAACTTCCCGGCCAAACAAGAGGGGCTAGACGGGATAAGACAACACACAATACCACATAATGGCAATCTACAAGCACTCCTTCAAGACAAGTTTGAGTCATATCTGCCAGCTCCACCAATGATGTAGTAAGCAAGAAGCGGTGGCCCAAGATTATTGGACAAGAGTCTCATCCTTGAGCATTGCCCCAGATACTCAAACCTATGTCTTCTTGGTCACCAAAACTCATGGAAATAAACCCCCAACCACTAGGTTAGCACCATCTGGTGGTTATCAGTGGTCACATAACTAATATGTGGTAGAAATGACTACCTGCAGTGGGCTCAATAACAAATACACAAGCACTACAACAAATAAAACATCACTGGTCAAGATGAAAATGTTGAGGGACAGCTTCAATATTACATGTAAAGCATGTGACATTCTATTAGTTTGAACAACCCAACACAACTGTTCACCTCTTCTAGTGGACAAGCTTGAATAAGTTATATACATGCGGCCACACCAAATACAAATTAGTGTTGCATATAACCAGTCAATGAAAGACTATATTCAATGCCTCATTTACAGATATAGTGATCCCAGAGGTGCATAACTTGGCAACCCTCACTTGCTTACTCATTCTAGCACTTCTCATATCATATATCCCTTCACATGGATCCATCCTGCATTTAGAACCCTCAGATCTATCAGTCCATGTATCCATAAAACACATAATCGAGATGAATATCAGTAAAACTTGAAGAAATAACAATATCATGGTGAATTTTTGCAGTGTGGTGGAATCCACTTATCCTTCCTCCAGGCAAGTGACCTCATCTCTTTTGAGACTCAGGGTTGAGGTCTCACATAATGCAAAACCCCATATAAATCTAAGTAAAAAAGTATGTGAAATTATCCACAAGAGTACAAACATTTAGACTCATCAAATATTAGCGGGGAAAACATGGTTAATGGTTAGGTAAGAGTGAATGATAAATGTTTCATTAAGTCCCTTAGTTGTCCAAAAATTCCAAACAACCTAGTACTTACAAATTACAACATATAAATGTAATTTATTCTCTTGAATAGTATTTGGTTCACTGGGATGATTTTGGACAGGAATGGAATTGCTATTCCCTGGCCTCCCAATCAAATGGTCATTCTCCTAAATTGGTGAATGATGATTTCATTTGCAAGTGCAACATGAGAGATAATCCAACAGAATGACCATTCCATTCCATTGAACCAAACGCTGCCTTAGAGATGATCCCCTTTTTTCATCACTTAATGATGAAATCATAACCTACATATATTTGACTCTGGTCAGAGCATTCGAGCTCACTACATCATCTTGATAGATTATGCATACTTCTAAGATTTTTATGCTGAGCACTTCGCTCACTACATGAATATAGTTGAAGATTTTTGCTTTCTTATGAATTCTGATGTCATGGTTGGAAAGAGATTAAAGGTCAGATAGGGAATCTACCTCCACTCAAGCTTTACTTCCATCAGGCAGTGTAATCAAGCGTGTGTTTGAATCATAAACCATTTCAGTTCCACAGCTGAGGAAAACGCCAGAAATGGAAGTTAAAATTACTAAAAATTGAAGTTTATTTTTTTCTATAAATGTCACCAAGAACATGATTACAGGAATGCAAATGAAGTATTATGAGGTTCATAGATAATATACATAACCACAAACTTACCTTGAGCATTTAACAGTGTTGGCGGAACCACAATTAGATATTGATAGGATGGTCCCAAAGAAGGAGACATTTTCTGTCCCACAATTTGGACAAGGGCCCTGAAAATTTATGGCATTTGTTAGTTTGCAATGCACACCAAACATGGTACAGTTCTTAGATATAGAACCTCCTACATGATGACATCAAGGTTCCTACCCTCAAGATCAAAAAGTCTTTCACAAAGAAGTTTGTAATTGATAGAGCTAACCACAATATGAGTGGTAACGCAGCAAACCATGTGAAAATGAAACTGAATGGCTCTGGAAGCTGCAAAATAATAATTGAAATAATTAAGATAAAATAACATCAAAGCCATATATACTGAAGAAGCAAAAACCAAAAATTTATTCGTGAGAAAAGGAGAAAATACTTCATATAATGTTGAACAAGCTCTGTCTCACACCATCATATCAACTTTGCTTTCAAGTTATAACTTACTTCAATAGAGTTCCCCAGCCCTAGAAAAACTGTAGATGATAATATCTAGTCATTACTTGCCATTGTAATGACCAGAAATTCACAATTTAACCAAGAATAATGATTCGGAATTGTATACATGCATTGCACACATTCAGGTGACACATGGTAATGATGAGGAATAGTTGAACTACTAATGTATTTGAAAGAGTAAAACTCATTTTAGAATTGTACTGACAGGAAATTCCCAAATCTAACTAGAATCACAAATAAAGTGCATGCAAGTATGGACTACTCACAAATCACAAAATAATGAATACCTTCTTAGAGAAACCATTCCTTTTGGACGACTACATAAAAAATCCCAACCTATTCAACTGAACCCTCACTTTCCCATTAAGTAAATGTGGAAGAACTTCCTGTCCAAATAAGGTTCTCAGCAAACTAAGATGGTAGCTTTAGTGGGAAATCAATAATAGCCCACTCACATCCCTATTCTTGAAGGAAAATAGTCAACTCAGTCCACTTTCTTCCAAACAGAGAACCAAAAGCTTTTACAAATACAGAATCACAAAACCTGTTACAATATGTCAACGTGTTCAACTTAAAAATCATTCCTTTTTCTTTCTTTTTTCTGTTCATAACGTATAATTAATCTCTAATAAACTTTGGTTGTAACAAGGCCAACTACCATCCTAGGAAGAACTAACTTTGTTTTTATAGTATTTAGAGATGCTGAGAAACTTCTATCTACAACGAAATTAAATTCTGTAGAAAATTATGACTAGTTGCCTAGAGAATTGGTTGAGCCAACTTGTTCGGCTGTGATTTGACTTGGGATAATCCTATTGATCAACAGGTTTCATCATGTATCAAAATTGTGGCCTCTTGGAAAGGCCAAAGTACATCTCAAAACTGTCAGCCAATTGTGTATTTCAAACAATTTGCATCTTACCACCTCAGCGTTCCATACAGTTCCAATTGAGAATCAGAAAAAGCTATAAAAATAAAAATTTACCTCCAAAAGATATGTGATTTCAAATCCAGTCAAATCATCCAGGAAGAAAAACCTGTAAAAACAAGAAAAATGACAAAAACCTTGTTGAGCATAAAAAAATGCTGTAAATTCGGATCCACAAAAATAGCCTTCTGCCATCACTACCAGATGAATCTTCATTAGTTAAGAAAATTACCAAAAATAAAATAAAATACAGAAGTGTGCACATTTTTTAACCTCCAACAAATGTACAATATGCTTTTTATTCATAAATGTCAGCAAACAACGACATTTAGAAAATTAAATTCAAGAAAATTACTTATTTGAAGGCAATTTCATTAATTTAAATCCATCACTTGAAAACCAATCTGCTAAGGATGACAAAAATTTGAACCAAAAGGGCAGATAATTTTTAAAAAGCTTAGCTTTAGAATGTTGCATGTTCCTGGGATGTACACACCAATCAGATGGTACATGAAGTGCCTTATTTTTTCTTCCTTTTTTAAATTTCCCAGTGCGTTTGCAATCCTCTAAAGCATGATGCAGACAAATTAATATAAGGATTTTTTTGGGATAAGTAATAGTTTATCAAGAAAAGCATCAAGAGATGATGCCACCTGAGTGCAAAAGGCAAAGAATCAAAACATCCTACATGCCTACTCTTAACACTCAAAAACTACATAATCCAAAAGTAGCTATATTGAAAGGTTCAACGCCCCCAACACTCGATGATACAAAAGAAGACAAAATATGGATTTTACCGAGGCTGATAATGGACAAACTATTCAATGTTGTATGGAAATTTCTTTTACCTATTTTTTTAGGTGATCTATGATTAACAACTTCTTTCGCTATGGTAATTGGGTTGATGAATTATGGATAACAAACAGCATAAGCTGTGAGGTACATGGGCGTCACATCAACTTAAAAATAGGTTCCTCAGTTCCTGTCCTTCAAAAGATCTCCAATTCCTTTCTTGCCAAACAATCTACATCACAATCAAAGAAGCCAACACCCATGCTTTCTTCCTTCTCTACCCCCTCCCTCTCTTCTAACAATGAAGACGGTTCCCCCACACTTCTAGGAAAACACAATACACTCCAAACAAGGCTAGAAACATCACCCAAAGCTCTCTAGACCATGGCTTCAAACAAGCAGCAAGATATAGCAATATTTTGTGAATCATCACTAGCATCAATAGCGTCTATTGGCAACAGAGTACGCTTTCAAAATAGTTACATAAAAATATCGTTCCCAAAAATAGAGGGGAGAAAAAAGAGAGATATCAGTGATATTTTAGTCAAAATTTTCAGGTGACACAGGCATCAGGCAATATCTTATCTTAATGTTCCTACTTGTTTCTACTTTTTATCTTGTCAGCAAACACAACTCTCTTCCATAATTACAGAGAAGAAAACTATGGGCCACATGTATGAAGAGAAAAAGAAGACAAGGAGGATGCTGGTTTTTTCTCTACCACTTAACAATTTCATGACATCCATTAAATTTTACACGTTGGTGCATTATCTGACTCAGCAACCAAATCTCAAACACAATGGTTGGCAATTCATTGCGGACCAATAAATAAATAAATAAGACTGAAATCCATATGAATAAAAACAACTCAGATATGTTAATTTTAGCACATTTATCCAAAATTATCCAAAATGGTGGGTTATGACCCTTTTGATGCTGAAATGGCAAACACAAACTATGTTCGATTAAATGCACCTTTTGAAGGTGAGATAACGACAGTGAGATGCTAACTAATGGCAAGAGATCATTAAATAAAACAGCCTAAAAAGACAAACTGCAGAAGATCTATGGCAACATAAAGATACAATATTACTTACAATGTTAGTGCAATGAGAGCAGCAGGGACATTCAAGAGGAACATCTTGAAATAGTCAACAGACAGGTCACTGTAAACCTACAAGACAAAGGTAAATCAGTTCAAGAAAACCCAAGGCTCAGCTCACGTTTGCACAAGCATACACCCACTAAAAGTGTCATCAGGTGTGACAAAAAGGTAGTCAACTTTAAACATATGACGTTTACTTTTTAGAATAACAACAATTTTTCCCAACAATGTTAAAACCTACCATCACCTACTCCACCTACCACCACCTACTACCACCTACCACACACCTACCACTACCACCTACTACCACCTACTCCACTACATCTCCTATATAAGGAGCCCCTCACCATTTGTAATAGATAACATACAACAATCAATAATACATCAATTTTAACATGGTATCAGAGCAAAGTTAAGCACTTAATATTTTTCGCTTCACCGGCGGGTGGGACCCTCGCCTTGGCCGCCCGCCGGACCTCAACCTATTTCCGTGTCATCTCTATCATAATACGATTATAGGCGTCCAGTTCGCCGCCACCAAGTTGTGTGAAGCGACTCTCTACATAGCAAAGATCAAACATTCTCATCTCTTCTAGCTTGGGTCTCTCTCCACAGACACACAGTAGCCACACACACACACAACATGCATAAACTCTCTCTGAGATGAAGAGGCCAACCCTCTTTCTCGTCAACTCTCTCTTCGGTTTCTCCTACACCACCTTCTCAACCTTTTCTTTCTACTACTGTTAGTTCAGTCTCTAAAGGAGAGAAAAACACAGTTCTAAGAAAAAAAAACAGAGCAACAGGAGGGTAAGGAAGAGGATGTGAAGCTTGGAGCTAACAAGTTCAACGGAGAGACAAACCAAAGGCACAGCAAGCTCAGACAGACAAGGATACAAAGAGCCACCACCAGCTCCTTTTTGAGCCAGGGAGTTGAAATCATGGTCCCCTTTACAGGGCTGGGATTGCAGAAGTTCATTGGCCACTTCCTCTTCTTATACAACACTCTTGTTGACTGTTCCATGGTTTTGGTTGAGGGCCTACTCAAGGTCCTCTGTGGGTAATTCAAGGGATGCTTGGTGTCTTGGTGGTATGACTTTGCCCTTCGTGTCTACTGCACTGCTGGTCATCTCAGGAGGACATATTAACCCAGGCAGTGACCTTTGGATGTTTTTCTGGCAAGGAAGCTGTCCCAACTAAGGCTGTTCTACATAGTGATGCACGTGCCTGGTGTGCCAATGTGGTGCTGGTGTTGTCAAGGGCTTTCCAGCCATCCTATCTATCAGTCAAATAATGGTGGGGCCAAATTTGTGGCACATGTGTTAGAACCTTTCACAGAGACTACAATGATTGAATGTTGAGCCTTCGGTTGGAGAGAGCCAATCTTGACTTGAAGGCAGAGAGAGTACACTAAGGAAAGCACACGCCATTCCTTGCTTTTGATTTATTTAATTCACACTCAACGTTCAAGTTTTTCACTCTCATTAGCACAGTGGCCATACATAACCGGTATCATGTTGTCTTCAACTTGTCTTTATTTATCATTTTAAAATCACCCTTCAATGTTGTTCCGCCACCTTCTTTGATTTATATATAGTTATATATATATAGATTATATAATATAATATATTATGCTCTTTTAATTAGTTCATTTATACTCAGACTCTCCTCCATTTGATTTTAAAATCAACTTATTTTAATTTATTTTTCCAAAGCAACTTTTCCTCCTTTTTAAATACCGCCCACTTATTGTTTGAAAACATCACAGCGATGAGTTTTCATATAATCCATCTATATAAGGATAATTTTTATCTATTTTCTGTCTTCCCTTGTTTCTCTATTATTATATATATATACACTCCAAAAAAAAAAAAAAAAAACATTTTACAAACTTGTCATTTTTTCATGCCGGGGATCAACCCCGATCAGCATTTTACACCAAAAAAAAAAAAAAAAAACACACAAAACAACCACATCCACAGGCAGGATTTTTCTTCTCTACTCTGCCGCCGGTCTCTTCTTCTTGCCTCCGTCCTGGACGGCCCTTGCCGGTATTGCCTCCGCGTTTCCCACTCCACTGGGCACGATCACTCCTCCCTGCTCCTCCACTACAGCATACGGTGGACCTCCAAATCGGAACATCACGGTGGCCTTCCGCTTCAGCTCCTTATTTTCCGCCTTTAGCACACTTATCTCTGCTCGCGCATCCTTATACATGCGTTGGAGCAGAGCCAGCTGGGCGTTTAACTGCTGCACCTCATTTGTCCTACTCTGAAGCCGGTGCGACAAGTTTGTGACCACAGTCATGGTCTCCACGCATGACTTCAAAGTATACTGATTGGCCTCAATATCCGTTTGCACCGCCATTTTTTGCTCCACAGACCGCATCGGAAAGTTCAACGGAGCAAAACCAGAGATGTTTGGTTGAGGTTTACTGGCCACCGCCCCAGTTATTTCTCTTGCGGACTCGTTCAGTTCTGGAAAGAGCGTGAGCAGACCACGGGAAGAGGATGCCATGTTCTGGGTAGCTGGACAGGAAGAAGAGGCCATGTTATGGGTTGCTGAGTGTTTCAGAGAAGGGTTGGTTACAGAATGTTTACAGAGTGTTTCAGAATGCCAATGTTCGGCGGTTTCAGACTGGTTTGCACAGCCTCCGCCTCAACCTTGGTTAAATAGCCAAGGCAGACACGCGCATCATGCGTCGCTCGGCGCTCGACGACAACATGGGCGCTCCTTTTGATGGCACGCCTTTTTATAGATTGGGCACGCCTTTTGATGGCACGCCTTTTGAGGGATTGGGCACACCTTTTGAGGGTGCGACTTTTTAGGGGTCCGAAACTGTCCCGACATTGATTCCGGTTAGCTCATTCATGGTTCCGACAAGACTCTGTAAACTGTCCCGACATTGATTCCGGTTAGCTCCTTCATGGGTCCGACAAGACTCTGTAAACTGTCCCGACATTGATTCCGGTTAGTTTCTACAAGGGTCCAGCAAGACTCCGTAAACTGTCACAACAACTGTCACAACATTGTCTGCTACAACGGTCCGACATGACCCCATAAACTGTCTTCTACATCGGTCTGCCATAACCATACAGTCTTCTACAACGGTCTGACACGACCATACAGTGTCTCCTATCCATTTTTTATTTTTCAGATTATTTTCTTGTTTTGTTACTCTCTCCAAACTCAAGTTGGTTAGTTCCTATCCCCCTTGAGTTTGCGGGGGGCTGTTAAAACCTACCATCACCTACTCCACCTACTACACCTACCACCACCTACTACCACCTACTACACACCTACCACTACCACCTACTACCACCTACTCCACTACATCTCCTATATAAGGAGCCCCTCACCATTTGTAATAGATAACATATATCAATCAATAATACAATCAATATCTATACAATTCTCTATTTCTCTTTATACATTAAATTTTCTACAAATAACTATTCAAGGATCACATAGCACTGATACCAGTTCTTAGTTTACAACTATACAATTAGTGCCAAGGTCGTTACTCATTAATATGTGCACACAAAGGAAACAGAATACCAATATACAAGCCTAGTATTCTAAGTTAAAATAGACGCTGAAATTTATTGAATTTGTTCGCAGTCAATCCATATAACCTTCTATAACATTCAATAGTAAATACATCTGCTGATTCATAGTGTGCAATGCATAGAAATGGGGAAATGAATAAGAAGAATAGAAAAACAAAGATAAATCGGAAACACAACCCCAAAACAATTAGGAAAGGTGATAGTACTATATTAATTAAACTAATTATTGGAGAGAATATAGCGAACGTTATTAGTGCATACGCCCCCGAAGTAGGATTAGATGATCGGACTAAGAGAGATTTTTTGGACCGAATGGATGAGGTATTACAGGAGATACCTATAGAAGATAACCTAGTTATAGGTGGTGTATTCAATAGTCATGTAGGAATAGATAAACTAGGATATGAGAGGATGCATGGTGGGTATGGTTTTGGTGATAGAAATAAGATTGGAAAGAGTATTTTAGATTTTGTGTTTGCTTCTGACCTGGTGGTGGCCAATACTATATATAAGAAGAGAGGGGCATTTGATAACCTTTAAGAGTGGGTCAATTAGAAACCAAATAGATTATTTTCTAGTAAGAAAAGTGGACCGTCTAAAATGCAGCGGCTGCAAGGTGATTTCTGGAGAGAGCCCGATGTCTCAACATAGGATTTTGGTACTAAATAATACCAAACTAGGAAGAATAGTAGGTATCGTAGGATGAGATGGTGTGACCTAAAAGGGAATAAACTATAAATATTTAAGAATAGAATGGATAAAGAAGGTACTTGAGACTTGGAAAATGATGCTAACACTATGTGGAACTCGATGGCCAATTGTATGAGGAGAATCTCCAGGAAAATTCTTGGAGAGTCGAAAAGAAAGAGATCCAACTCTAGGGAAACTTGGTGGTGGAGGGAGGAAGCTAAAAGGTAGAAAAGATGAAAAAATAGTGTTTTAAAATGTAACAGAATGATAGAACTGATAAAAACCTTAAGAGCTACAAATTGGCTAATAAGGAGGTCAAAAAAGTAGTGAAAGAGACTAAGTTAAAAGCCTACGATGACCTATACACTAAACTAGATAGTAAGGAGAGAGACAAGAGGATATACAAATTTCCTAAGATAAGAGATGAAAACAAGAGACTTTAATCAGATTAAGTGCATCGAGAGTGAGGACTCTAAGGTGTTAGTAAAGGATGGAGAGATTAAGGAGAGGTGAAAGAATATTTTGAGAAGTTAAATGAGGAACATAGAGGTAGGTCAAAAGGGGAGGAAGTAGGCAGTAATAAGGAAAATCAAGACTACAGGTTCTATCATAGGATTAGGAACTTTGAAGTGGAGATTGCACTTGAGAAGATGAAATCGAATAAGACTTTAGAATCCGATGATATTCCTATTGAAGCTTAGAAATGTTTGGGTAAGAAGAGAATTGCTTGGTTGACTAGGTTATTTAGCAAGATTTTGTTGACTAAAAAAATGTTCGAGTAGCGGAAGAAGAGTATTTTAGTACCAATTTATAAGAACAAAAGAGATGTCCAAAATTGCAACAATTATAAAGGAATCAAGCTAATGTGTCATATAATGAAAATATGAGAAAGAGTGATGGAACATCAATTGCAAGATATAACAGATGTGTCAGAGAATCAATTTGAGTTTATGCCTGATAGGTCAATAATGGAAGCGATCTATCTTTGGAAGAGAGTAATAGAAAAGTATAGAAATAAGAAAATATACATTCATTTGGTTTTTATCGATCTTGAGAAAGCATATGATAGAGTGTCTGGGGATATAATCTGGTGGATGTTAGAGAAGAAAAGGGTGACAAAAAGTTACATTGATTTGATTAGGGATATGTATGAAGGTGTGATAACCACTATTAGATCGCCTGTTGAAAAGACAAGTGAATTTCCAATTACTGTAGGATTACACTAAAGATTAACCTTAAGTCTTTATCTTTTTGCTTTAGTTATGAATGAATTTATGAGAAATATTCAAGATGATGTGTCATGGTGTATGCTTTTTGCAGATGATATTGTGTAAGCGGATGAGACTAGAGAAAAAATTAACACTAAGTTAGAGACTTGGAGAGAGCACTTGAATTGAAAGGATTTAAGATAAACAGAACTAAAATAGAGTACATGAAGTATAATTTTAATAACAGTAACAATGGAAGCAGAGAAGAAGTAAAGATTGAGGATCAAGTACTACCTAAGAGTGAACATTTTCGTTATTTAAGATCGATTATCACAATGACTGGAGAAATTGGAGCGAATGTGGTCCATAGAATTAAGGCGGGATAGTTTAAGTAGAGGAATGCATCTAGGGTACTGTGCGATAAACAAGTACCCACTAAACTAAAAAGGAAGTTCTATAGAATGGCTATTAGACCAGCGATGTTGTATGGGACGAAAGGTTGAGCAACTACGAAACAACATGTAAATAAAATGAATGTTGCTAAGATAAGGATGCTAAGATGAATGCGTGGCAAGACTAGAAAAGACAGAATTAGAAATGAGTATATTCAAGAATAGATAGGAGTAATACCGATAAAAGATAAGTTGAGAAAGAATAGATTGAAATGGTTTAGTCATATACAACGAAAACCAATAGAGGCAATAGTAAAGAGATGCGATACAGTGACGGTAGATAGAAGTGTTAAGGGAAGGGGCAGACCTAGATTGACGTGGACTAGTATAGTAAATAGAAATATGAATCTCCTTAATTTGACCAACAATATAGCATTAGATAAAGTCGAGTGAAGAAGGAGGATTCATGTAACCGACCCCATTTGATGAGACTTAAGGCTCAGCTTGGTTGGTTCAGTTCAATTATCAATAATCAATATTCATCCAAGTCTGATGCCCTACAACTATTACATAAAGCCATATATATAATACGAAGCCCTAATTAATTAAAGTTAGCAAAAATAAAACACTACAATAATTGAATTATAATAAAATAACCTAATCAAGTAATAAAATCTAATAAATAAAAAATAATTCCTAAATAAATCACTAAATATTTTTTATCCAATGTCTTTTTAATCTCCATAAACTTGGTTGAAACCAACCCCACCCCATAAGAAGTTTCTTCGAGCTTGCTCCAATTCCTTGGTCACAAAAGCAAGGATGGTGAAAACTGATAAAAAGTAGGAAGGCCATCAGTTAGGGTGAGCTTTCCTCCTTTAGAAAGATACTAAGGCAAACCCCATTTAATTAGAGACAACTCCCTAGTGTAGGGATGACATGCATCCATTAAAGAGATCAAACCCACAACTTGGCATGATGCTCAAGCAAACTACTTTTTCCTTCATCAAAATTATATCCATATAGCACAGGATACTACAGGCAACTCCGTTAAAAAAAATTAATTAATTAATTAAAAAAAAAAGTTATGTGAAATATAGACAAGAGAGGACCTGTAACATCGATCCGTAGGGAATATTTAAACTAATTCCCCAACAATGATTCCAGAAATAAACGACTATGAGAAAATTATTGTACTTGTGTTTGTATCCATACAAAAATTAACATGTATTAACTAAGCATAAACACACAAAACCGCAAATTGAAAAAAAGCAATAATTCCCCAACAATGATTCCAGAAATAAACGGCTATGAGAAAATTATTGTACTTGTGTTTGTATCCATACAAAAATTAACATGTATTAACTAAGCACAAACACACAAAACCGCAAATTGAAAAAAAGCAAATAATATAGCAACAGAACACACCTTTCTACTGCGGAGACTGCATCGGGGGCCCTCAACTACAATGTCACTCCCATCCATCTGGAGACAGAAAAAGGATGAAACAAAGTCACCAGTAGAAGGCAATAAAATAACAGATATAGACGAACAACTGGAAGTACAAATTTAATTGTTTCCCTAACTTTCTATGATAAGAAATCAGGAAATAACAACATCAACAACGAGTGGAGTATAATGCATCTTCCTAAATAGCTTCAGCCGCAAACATTTCAACCACATAAAAAAATATGCATGAATATTTACCAGCCACACAACCACAAAAGATGTTGGACTAGTTTCTTCAGCAAGGTTTCAGAGTTCTATGCAAGTAATAAAGGACTTAATATGCTATAAATGAATTGATCAATGTAGAACAAAGAATGCTACATATCCGGGAAACAAATTATCTAGGTAAACTCACACATGCAACCACTGTAAGTGCATCACTTATTAATAGCTGCAAGCATGAAGGGCATACACACAGATCAAGTCAACTAGAAGAGCCTTCTTCCTTCGCAAGGAAAGTAGGTCTTGGACCCAGTTACATTGTGTTGAGATTTAAACTTCCTTCTGATAAGTAGTTGACACTTTCAAGAAGTATTGTATTGGATATGTAGCATCTACAAATTCAACCACAAACATGAATCTCATTCCCATTTCCAATTGAAACGAAGTTTATTTTCAATGAATCATTGTCAAGAAATTCCCTTTGGTTTCTTTTTTTTTTTTTTTTGGATAAATAAACAAACTTTATTAAGAAAGTATCAAGATGATGCAAAGAATACAAAAAAAGCATCCCCAAATTGGGGAGAAAAAGCAAGCACTAACCAATCACTTCATCCAAAATATCTAAAAAAACAAACATATCCGGATCAACCTTCCTCTCCATCCAATTATACAAAACTACTAGAAGACGACTCTCTAATTGAAGCCTCCAATTTCTATGATATTTTCCAAACCTCGTCAGAATATTGATTGCATTTGCTTTGCTATATCTTCAATAAATTATTTGCTCCACAACTCAACAACTTGACCACTTACAATGTAGAATCAAAAGCAATCATCTTAAGTAATGCAACTATTGCCTGCCAGATACAAGCACAATTCTAATAGAACAGAAGCTATGGCCCCAGTCTGAGTAAGTTGCTTTTCTCCTTTCCTCACATGGATATATTATTATACAGGAAAGGACCACAGTATCTTTGAAAGTCCTAAAGTAATTGGTGATAGTATAATCTACATAAATCAAAGTCAATAGTGACATTGTCATACAAAGTCCCAGAAACCCCAGGACTGTGGATCACCATGGAAAACATTTAGAGGATTTACGTGCAGGTCCTAATAGATGGACTTATTGTCCAATAGGTTCTGTGAGAATTAATGGCATTTTTCATCAAACACTATCAAAAAACATCACTAAGGCCTAGTTTGGGAAGACTAAATAAGTGCACTTTTTGACTTTTTATGAAATATGGGTTGGGTTTGGATTGGGTTTGAAGTGATGTGTTAGAGAGGTGATGTGACTTAAATAAGATAGTGACTTTTTGACTTTTTGTCTTTTTTCAATTATGCCAAACTTGGCCTAATTGTTAATTTTCAGTGACAATTTGAAAATTTTGTTACAAAAAAATAGTTTGAAAAATTTGTCACAAAAAAACATAGGCGGAGAACTGAACCAAGAATTCTCTTTCTTCATCATCAATCGAATCACTGTTCGCGACCGCAAGTTTTAGTGACAATTTATAAAAACAGTAGCAAAAAAAATCATTAGTTGTCAAATTTTAGCGATATATGCAAAAAATTATTTTTAATGACGATTTTACTATGACTTATTTTCAATAGGACTTGATGAGAATTAAGTCCAACTATTAGGACCTATTGGTAGTTTACCCAAAATTTAAAATTATCAAACCAAACATGATAGATTAGTGAACTAAAAGTCAACGAAAGAGTAACAAGCAGGCTTCGATTCTTCAAACATGTGTTTCCATGCTATAATAATGAATGATCAATACTTAGCAACCTCTTAAAATTCAAAAGTAAATTTTAAGATAAACTAAATGTATATTGTTGATTGAAGGCATATGAGCATGAAGAAAATGCGAACAAACCTTTAGTTTCATCTTCAGTTTGTCGTACTCCTCATCGCTCATTATCCGCGTCCCAGCTACATAAGCCATTGAAGCTTCGAGAAATTTCTGTTCATCAGAAGCTGTACATAAACAAAAAACGTTATGCAGTGGCATCTTAAAGGTTCAAAATTTGATGAAAGGATACCATAAAAGGTGGAGGCTCCATATGTAGAATTTAGTCCATACTTAGCATGACAATGCTGCTTCCTTCCCACATTAGTTCTTCCTTGAGGTTATCAAATTCCTCATTTGACATTATAGCCCTTCCCTCATAATAAAAAGCCTACAACAGAAACAAAAAACAAACCTCAAATCCCTCACATAAGCAGCAAAACTTATATATAGAATCAAAAGCAGAATTAACAAAATGAAACCATTACTCTTTTTTTTCTTCCAAAATCTAGAACGCTGCATAATACTTCTGATTCTACAGTCAGTAAGACAATCAGAAGTATTTTAATCATTGTAGAACTGTAGTCTAAGCAGAACTCTAAGACACAATAAATTTGTGTATTTAAAAAAACAAAACAAAACAAAACAAACTAAAAATAATCTATTTTATTACTTGTAGTGCTTGAAGAAATTCTTGTTCAAGCTCGCCCAATGACTTCTTCTCTTTCTTGTCTATGCTACAGTATGGCAAGATCTTACTGTCAACCACCTCGTCTTCTTGGACTTGACCTGCAAGGAGCACTGGGGTTAGCAAACAGAATTTTGATAGCAACCCTCCATGAAAAGATATTTGTAAGAGAACATATAAAATGTACAATGATGCAGAGGAAGTAAAAGAGCTGTATTTGCAAGCAATTCAAATCCTGAGAAGACCAAAATGTGAATTTTATTTCTTGTTTAACCAAACCAAACCACACCAAACCTTAAGTCCCATCAAATGGGGTCGGCTATATGAATCATTCTTTTCCACACGGCTCTATCAACAGCCATTTCATTAGTCAAATTAAGTAGATCCATATCTCTATTTACAACACAAGCCAACGTTAATCTAGGCCTACCCGGTCCCCTAACACTTCCATCTACTGTCACTGTATCGCATTTCTTCACCACTGCCTCTATTAGTCACCTCTTCGAAAGAGCCAGTCAAATGAGACTATTGCTAGCAACCAAGAAAGTAAAGTAGCAGCTAAGGAGGCAGCAATACAACTTGACCACTAGAGTTGGGATTGCGCACTTTGTCATAGTTATTAAGGTGCACATCGCCTTCTTATAGGGGTTTATCCACATCCACACTTGTTAGGCAACTTGCACTTGAAAACATAGATAGCACATGTGAAATGTATTTTGGTTATTTTATATTTTCTGTAGGGGTACTTTAGACTATAGGATTAATTAGAGTTTTGTTCTCTATTTATTTTGTATACGCTATGCGATTAAGCTTAGAGTAGTTAATCCAATAAAATACAATTTTCACTCTCTTCCATAATTGCTCACAGCTCAGCGTGACTTTCAATTAAAGTTGGCACATGAAAACTACTTATCAAAAAAATATGACTGCACATGAAAATTGAGTCACCTTCAACTAACAAGAGGGAATGTCCTCCATGTTCAATCAAGCATAATTAAAAATACAAAAAGTAGATGTTACAATATTCACACAAAAAATGCTGTCAAGAAGTCATTACAAGTGTCATAAGGTGCTTGGGGAGAAACTTAGCCTGCGTTTGGTTGTGTTTTGTAAATGTGATTTGAGAGTATGTGTTGTATTTTGACTTTGTGTGTTGTAGAATTATGATTTGAGTATAGAAAATTTGTTTGGTAAAGAGTTTTGAAAATAGTTTTGGAAAAGAGGTTTGATTTGAGTGGGGAATTGTTGATGTGATATTTGATATATGATACAAAAATTTACAATTCATAACTAAATATACAACTCAAAATTATTTTAAAACACATTAAAAATTAAAAAAAATTCAGAAAATATTTTTTCCAATTATATAAATCAATTGCAAAAAAAAAATATGTACAGCGGAGGACATCCAGGTGGATGTCCCTAAGGACGTCCGAGCGGATGACCCAGAAGACATCCGGGCGGTCTTCCCCTGGGCAAAATTTTTACAAAAGCAGCGGCTGATGCACAGAGCTCTCTGCAGAGCTTGTGAAAATTGATTCCAAAACAACAACCAAACATCATACTCAAACGCACGTGTAGAAACACGTTTACAAATCACAACCAAGCAGAGCCTTAAGTGTGTAATTAGCAACACTGTCCTATATCTTATTCTTTTCATTTCTTGTCCTTCTTCTCTTCTTTTCTCATCCACTCCTCTTCCCCACATCTCTCTTTGGTGGCCCACGTTGGATGTCACAAGGTTTGCATATCCCAATGGCACTAATTGAAATTTAGAGGTTTGAAAATCACATTGAACCCTCCCTCCTAGTCATTTTTCCTTCTTTTATATTTTTCACTCTAGCCCTCCTATATATATTTCACATTGCCATTCCTATAAACTCCATACAAGATTTGCTTTCTTTTCACCTTTTACCAAACTCACTGGGAATTTTTCAATTGGAATTTTTCAATTCGTCTATGATTTACATGCTCTTGATAGAGAATAAGCTATTAATTATCCCTTAATTTCAACACATTGCCAAAGGTGTAGCCATGAAGTTGCCTTGATTTAAGGGGTGGTTTGAGATAATCTAAATAAGTGCACTTTTTGACTTTTTATGAAATACGGATTGGGTATGGGTTGGGTTTGAAGTGATGTGTTAGAGAGGTGATGTGACTTAAATAAGATGTTGTTACTTAAATAAGATAGTGACTTTTTGACTTTTTAACTTTTTTAAATCATGCCAAACAAGGCCAATATTTGAATTTTATTCACTATTTCACACATGGAAGCACGCCCACAACCCACACAAACACAACAAAGATAAAAGCGCACACACAGAATATATGGTTTGGCAAAAAACGGCGTATGCTATTGGCAAAAGAGAAATCCACCATAAACTGAGAGATTACAGGCCTAAGACGATCTAAAACGCCCAAAATTGACACCAATAGTAGACAATCAAAAATATCCAAAACAGATACCAATCAATGTGTTTGGTTTGAATTTTCTGGATTAAATTTTTTGAAAAGTGAATTTTTTGATTTTCGTATTCCTTTGTTTTTAGTGAATATTTTTTAAATTTTAAACATTTTTTTTAACTTTTTTAGATGCATCTTAGTTAGATGTATCTAAAAAGTAAAAAATTAGTGAAAAAATATTTTAAAAAATTAATAAATACATAAAAATACAAAAAATGTACTGAATTCTTGTATTTTTTTTGTATTTTTGGTATTTAGTGAATTTTTAAAAGATTTTTTTTACAATTTTTTTATTTTTTAGATGTATTTATGTTAGGTGTGTCTAAAAAGTAAAAAAATTACTTAAAATATTAAAAAAAAATCAATAAAAATAAAAAAACACGGAAAATAAGAAAGTAGAATTTTCTGAAAAGTGTTTTTTGAAAACTGAAAACAAGCAAGCTGAGGAGTTTTGTCCCTCCCTCATACAGTTGGGTTTCCCTACTACATATGTTGGACCCCTTAGTGGATTCCAGACCCTACAACCCTACCCAAACGCATGTACCAAGCCAGGAACTATATGGACGAACGTAATACATGAAATACACTCCACAACCGAATATCCTTTCTGCACTCGATATTAAAGGGTGATTAAAGAACATAGTACTCCCGAAGGTGGCTTCCAAAAGCTTAGACAAGCCTAGACAGCATCCCCTATCTATGATAAAAAGAAAAAAAAACACCAACGAGAAAGAAATGTTTGTGTATAAACTAACAGCCATAACTCTCAAAAACCAAGGAAATCCATTCGAATTGCAGCAATAAGAATCTGTGAGTAACTGACTCAAAAACAAAACCACATAAAATAGAAAACCCAACTAGGGCATGAACAAAAATGAGAAATCCGTTGAACGCATAATGGGTTACACTTCACATAGAACTTGAAATTAAAGAATTTGTGTTGTCAAGTCTAAAATAACAACTTTCTTCTCCTGACAATCAAAATCTCAATTTCTAATTACATGAGGTGATTATGGGTAATATAGCATTGTCTACCCAATGAATGAACTAACTATTCAAATGTCCAAACCACCCATATGTTATATAAACAAGGCATAATCAAATCACCATAACAATTAAGAGAGAGAGGGAGAGGAAAAAAGAAGTAAAGAGTAAAGGAAAGGCATTTAAGCAGTATTATATGAATTCAAAATTCCAACAAAACCATTTTCTATCAATGTGATCAATGAAGTACACATAGGGATTCGGATATAGAAACCAAACCTGGCTGGTCAGTAGTGGCCTTGGGGGAAAGAATAAACAGTCTGCGTCGAACACACAGCTGTCGATCAACGAGTGAGACTAAGCGAACCCTAGAAGAAGAAGATGATGATGATGGTGAAGTGGAAGAGAAAAGAGCAACGGGTTTTCGAAAGCGAGCGCTGAAGAGACGAGGAGCCGTCAGAGTAAACCCTAATTTGGTGGCCATTTGCTGCGGCGGCGGTGGAGAAGTGGAGGGCAAGATATGGGTAGTGGTTGTTGCATTTTGATTATTGGGTTGGGGGACTGTTGATGATTTTTTGGGTGAGAAAGAAGAGACAACTGAGCTCGGGATCGGATAAGGCAATGACGAAATGTGTGAACGAAATTGTGAGAGACAGATCTTCCAAAGATCAGATTCTGGCCCTGCTTGGGATGTGGGATGGGCCTTGTTTGGGTTATGTTTGCCAAAAAATTTTGGGAAAATTTTCTACAAATAAATTTTCAAAAGTATTCAAACTAAATAAATTTTTCTAAAAAAATTTCTCAAAACTTGTTTGGTTTACAAGTTTTCCAAACAAATCTCTCTCTCATACACATCAAATCAATCACTTTTTCCAAAACTCTCTTAGGGCTAGTTTGGCATGTACTAAATAAGCCAAAAAGTCAAAAAGTCACTATCTTATTTAAGTCACATCATCTTATTTAAATCACATCACCTCTCTAACACATCACATCAAACCCAACCCAAACCCACCAATAAGTCAAAAAGTGCACTTTTTTAGAACATCCCAAACCAACCCTAAATAAATGATATGATCTAAAAAAAACTAAAAAAATGATTTTTACTCAAAATAGATCTAAAATAGCGAAGCTCCCAAACGGGTTAATCAACAACCCCCATTGATTCACCCAGCGAGAAATTATTCAATGCGGGTTAATCAACAACGTCCAATCACCCAGCGAGCAATTATTCAATGCTTACGTGTGGTAGTTATTGGTTAGATTCATCACTTTTGTGTTAAGTTTTGATATAAAAATAGATGTTTTGAGGAGATGATTAAAAGTTAATTTTTTTATTTTTTAAATTTTTTAAAAAAATATATAAAAAAATATAAGATATAATATGACTTAAAATAGACTAAAAATTAAGAAGTAATTTTTAACCTACTTTTTAAAAATGGCAAAGTATTACCTGGTATAGACGTCCCTGAACGTCCCGAGAGGGAATCCCGTTCTGTTTATTTGGGTTCACTATAGTTCGGACTCAATGTCACGGTCCTGTATCTAATCTCGCAGAGTACAATGCAAGACCGATGAATCATCAAAGAGTCCAAATCTGGCAAATCGTTTTTGAAAAATAGATTTTTTGTAAAGAAATGTCAAACATGGACTGTTTTGCCAGATAGAGAGTCGCCACTTAAATATTTTATTTTGGAAGAATTTAGGAAACCCTGACTCGTGCCTAAGGCCACGTGTCCGTCATCACCAAAGTTGCCTTGGCTCGGGAACTTGGGTACGATTGGGGAAGGTCACTTCGTGAGCACCCCCGCTCGCCCGATCAAAGATCGACCTCTACTAACTATAATATCGGGTTTTGAAAACATATGTGCTCTTATTCCGGTTATTAGCTTAGATTTACTATATGATGCACACAGCATACAAATATAGACCGGATCGCCTGAATTAGAACAAAACATTTCTTGTTTGTTTTTTAAAGCGGTTTGCAACTCGCAAGTAGACTAAAATACAGATTTTGCCACCCTCAGGTGGGCTTAGGAAAGATGATTTGGCCACTATCTAGTGGGTTTAAAACTCACAGTCAATGCACTATTCCAATTCAGAGAATCCAACCTTCACCCACAGGCATTCAGGCAGTTATATCACATAAGCAAATAGTCTCATGGTAAGCATGCTATCATGGCAGTCACTCACACACATGCAAGGATGTTAAAGCATAAAAGCTTACCTAGTATTCCGAGCCAAAACAAAAGCTAGTTAGTAATCAAATGTATGATCCTAACTAATGTTAAGATGGCTAATGCAACGCATACAAAATACAACTAAAAATAGGCTCGGCTATTCTAAGATGGCATATGAAATGCAACAGATAGCATGTATTCAACTTTGGAATGGAAAATACAATGCAGTTAGTATGATGCGCCGAGCCCGGTGCATGCAATACAGATGAATAATGCAAACATGCGAGCATAAGGATGCTAATTGAAATATGCCCTAGTACTAACCATCAAAAGTAGGTAAGTAAAAGGGAGAAAGAAGTGGAGGTTGGAAGACATGCATCACACACACACGCGCTTATTACATAATTCGCCTTCTCTCAGAGGGACCAAAAGGATAATACAAATTAATTAACTAACAAGCTAATTAAATATTACACAACCACTTAACTAATTAAACAAAATTAATTAAGTTAAGAAAGCAATAAAACAGCCTCGGGAAGAGGGTCAAATGCACACATGCTCGGCTTCGCTCGGAAATCCAACGCTATGCTCATGTTGCCTCTGTTTACACTGTTTTATGCCTCTAAAAATTGCAAAAGTCCCAAGGTTGGTTCTGGAACACTCCCTGAACACTGTGGGATGTCACCGACCAAGAGGAAACATCACCGGCCATGGGAAGCTGGTCATCGACCAAAAGTATGGCTCTCGGCCAAAAATATGTAGTCGGCCAGCACTCAATGTGGTCGGTCGGCTATCCATTCCTACAGAATCCTGTTTGACAGCAGCAGAGGACAAACAGAGCATGGCAAAGTATTTACGATGCAATATTTGCACAACTAACCTCCCTATCATGTTATGAACTCAAGGAATGATGGTCCTCGACCCTCGGGCCACCAATCATGTATTTCGATGCATGATGGCCCAAGAGGCCAAGTGTGCATTTCAATGTCCAATGTAATGCACACAAACACATAAGGCCCCCAATCTTTATCATAATTGATCAAGAGGAATGTGATGCATGCAATGATATGCAACCTAAGCATGCAATATGAGCATGTGAACAAGTATGCAAACATGCAAGCTAATAAGCATGCAAAATGCAACTTAAACATGCAAGTATGCAAGACATGTAACAACATGTTGAGCAACTTAATCAAAGATGCATGCCAAATGCGATATCACTTAAACATGCAACAACATATTAATAAGCCAAGTATGTAACAACATGCAAAGCGAGCATGCAAGAACATGCAAAGGATGGACTTACACCAAGATGGACAGCTCTCTAATAGGTCCAAAACAGTGGCCATATGAGATGAGAACAAGGCCCAAGATTCATGCAAACATGCGCAATGCAAGGGCTCCAAGCCTAAAGCACAAAATGCAACTCTCCAGGAGCAATGCAATGATGAAACAGACATACAATGGCATACATTCCAGCTCTGAAATGGTATACTAAATGATTCCAAAATGACTCCAAAGCATGCAAACACTCATGATATGCATGGTAGGGGCCTCAAAACCCAAGACTAACCTAAGCATTTACACTATAGCTATACAAAGCATGAATGATATGGCCATGGTAGCCCAAAACAGACCTAGGATAGCCCAAAATAAGCATAAAATCATGTTAGAGTAAAGCCAAAATATGCTAAGATGATGAGTCAAAACATCATGCACAAGAGGCTAGTAAACAAGATTTGTTCTACACCTATATGGAGCATGCAAATGATGACCAAACTAACTATGGATAGGGTCATGATATGGCAAAACATTACAAAAAATATGCTGAAATGTAAACCAAACAAGCTAACAAGACATGACAAAACATGAAGCATGTGAAGCTAGTTTAGGCGATTTACACTACAAGTGTATGAAGCATTTAAGGGGTCACTAAACCAGCCCAAAACAGATGCATGACATGCCAAAATATGACCAAATACCCTCTAAAATGTATCCAGTACATGCAAGAATGAGGTGCTACTTTGAAAAGCTATGAAGGGGGTTGTTCTACACATGCAAGAGGCAAGCCTTAAATGACAAAAACAGCTCTGGAAAAAGTTCAAGCAGGCCCCAAAACTCACTGAAAAAGGCCTGAACCGAGCTCAAGAAATGTGCAAATATGGGCTCCTTTGTAAGGCCAAAAATGCAAGTAAACAAGACAATAAGGAGAGTGGATGACCCTCTCCTTCTTAGGACCTCAAAACACCATCCCCACCACTGAAATCCAGAAGGCCAATACAAGGTGGTCCCGAAACTCACAAAAAAGGCACAAAAATGAGACCAAACAAGGCCTAAGAGGGGGTAAACAACCCCAAACACAAAAGTGATCTTAAACAAATTTCAAAAGGAGCTCAAATTAGGACTTCTTTCAGTTTATGACAAAGCTCGAAAATGCTTCTAAGTATGACTAAAAGATGAAGCAAAATAAAGACCAAAAGAGGGTAAAGTGTGTTACTCTTATAGTTCCAGCAAAACCAGCAGCTTTGAGACCAAAAAATCAGACCTTCAACCTCTGAAAATGGCCTCCAAGGACCTTAGATGAGTGGTGGAGGTGTGTGGCCATGAGGTATGGTGCAAAGGGGTCAAGAACCAACACTTTTGGAGCTCAAAATATGGAGATAGAGAAAAATACAACTCTTGTGCCTTAGACCATTTTTTTTTTCAACCCTTACAATGGAAGATGAGCTCTTCTTTTATAGAGGAAGAAAGGTCCAAGCTTCTAGAGAAGCTTGGAGCAAATGGGCCAAACTTTTTCAAGAAGCTAAGAAGGGGTCAAGCTTCTCTTAGAAGCTTGGAGCAAAGGGTTCAAGCTTCTCTTAGAAGCTAGAACAAAGGTTCAAAAGGTTCAAGCTTCCTCAAGAAGCTAAAAACAAGAGTTCGAAAGGTTCAAACTTCCTCAAGAGGCTAAAACCAAGGGTTCAAAAGGTTCAAGCTTCCTCGAGAAGCTAAAACAAGGGTTCAAAATGTTCAAACCCCTTCAAGAAAAGGTCTCGCGCAGAAAAAGCGGCCGATTGACCAAAATCATTAGCCGGCTGACCAAACACAATGCTGACTGGCTAACACCTTTGGCTGGTAGAAAGAAAACAGGGCCGGTGGCCTCCAGCCATGGGCGGTGAGATGTGGGGATGGCTTACAAGCTATTTCCCACCCTCAAAAGCAAAACAACAAGTGTTTGATGCAAAACCAAACATAAAACAAACAAGTCGAGAGGTCTTGAGGCAAGGCGCGTAGCCGAAACCTCCGAGAACTCAAGACGAACACAAACATGGATAATCATCGAGTGTTCAAACGATGACGTCCAAGTCTCGAGGACGGTCAAAAATGGGGTGTCTACACCTAGGAATCTATAAAAATATAATTCTCGATGATTTGGTTAGAGATTGTGTAACACTTTTGTCAGTTGTAGTAAATACGATTTGAAAGTAGGAGTTGTA